AGACGCACTGACATTGAGCTATGGCTTCAACAGCTGATCGAAACAGTTTAATGCATTTCCATTTCCAGTTGCATGGAGCCAGCAATGTTTCTTACTTATTTACAGTATCACCCCCTCCCCTGCTCCCCGCTCTTGTGTTTGCTACATAGATAACGTGGGAAATTGATGCTGACTATCGCCTGCCTGATGTACAGCACTGCCGATGGCTTCAGCAGGATTTTAAAGAGGAATGAGTCAACAGTGTGTGACCAGGAATAACATTTGCCAGCGTGTGAGCTTGAATAGGAAAACATATCTGTGCCCACCTGAGCATTAGTCAAAGCGACAGTGGCAACAGATGCCCCAGCAGGATGTGCTCTGGCAGTCTTCCAGGTCAGGGCAGAGCCAGCCCTGCTAGCCACCAGCCCTATAGCAATGCCTGTGTCTAGGACTATAAATGGCTCCTGAAGTCCTGATAACCATCCCTCCAAAGGGAATGCTAGTCTGCTTTCCTGATTACTCCTAACATTCACTATGCTTTGAAGATAAAGCACAATAACCCACCTGCTGCCTAATGTGGCAGAACTTTATCTAAGGGCAGTAAGCGTAATCCTTTAGAAATCAGTCACAGATTATTGTGGGCTATTACTTTAGATCCAGATGAGGTAAATTCACAGGCCATGTTATTGCAAAGAAGGAAATACTCAGGTGAATTCCTTTTCTAGTCTTTCTTCCTGCAAAGATTTTACCTGCTCTGTGATATCAACAAGGGAAACAGGGCCAACTTTCAGACTTGACTATTGAAAACAAAGTCAGCCAGCCCTATATAATTATCACCCTTTCCTCCTACTCTTCTTTCATTGGGCACCCAGAGACACCAAAACCTCTGCAAAAGACAAAACTGGCAGCAGCAAAACTCTGCTTATCTCATCTTCAGAACCTGGTGAAGTAATTAACAGAGGACACAGGTGCTCTTCTACCAGGCTTTGATGGTTATCTAAAGAGGGAGAAGCCATTCAGATGGTGAAGCGTGGGCCTGAGACAGCAAGTAGTGAGTGCTGTGAAGGAGGATAAACCCATCTGCAGGAAAATATGGGAATAGATGTACTGAGGATCAGGTGGGATGAGAGTGCAGGGCTGAGCTGGACTTGGATGGAGCCGTGCAGTAGTTTATGAGATGTTGTTCAGGACTGACAAAGCATCAGAGCTGACATAATATTATTCAAGCAGCAAAATGTAGTAAGATTGAAATTTTCACCATACTGTTTTATGAGGCTCTAACAGAGCAAATGTCATATTCTCCATGGCAAGACAATAATCTCAAGGGCTACCTCTAGCAACAGCCAGAGCTTAAAGTCACTACTAACCTTTGTAATTCCTGCAAATACTGCTTTGAGCAATCTTTTAGGTTCCATGGCTAACACGTGTCTTTCAGTTTTTTGTTACATACTTGCTAAATTAGTATCTAAGTAGCATCCTTTTCACTGATGCACACAAGCATGCTTTCTTTCCTCTTTTCATGCACAGCAGCTCAAATGACACTACTGAGTTCCAAAGCCCAGACTGCTGCACATTTTCAAGCCCGGTGTTTCACAGCCTTGGACTAGTTACCCTACACAGGGTGGCCCAGCCCTAATTTTAAACATACCTCTGCAGAGGATTCATTTTTCTGATGGGATTTTCTACAAGTACCTGGTCCTGAAAAAAACCCTTGATAACAGCATCAGTGATAACATTGATATTATTAACAGCACTCTGCCACTCTATTAGTATTTTTATTTCAAGACTTCAAAGAGCTATGTTTATTATGCTCCACAAATCTTTGATTAGATGGGTCAGTTTTATTCCTGTTTTGAAGGTACAGGAAAAAATGACAAGACATTGCCAATCCAACTTAGATTCCCAGGAGTTCTGACAAGCCCAGTCTCTCACTATAACCATTATACAACATTTCTTCATCTTAAACACAGAGATATAAGGCTGCACAGACTTTCATAAACTTATTAATCTTTCAAAGCTCTACACTACAGACTAAGAAGTCCAGGGAACAGATCATCCATCCTGTCAGAGAGCTGATGATAGATAATTTCAGCTCATAAGCTAAAAGAAAAGCAATTTCTTCTGCTTTCTAAATACAAAAAGAAAAGCAGCTTTTTCTGCTTTCTAAATACAAAAAAAAAAACCTAAAATGTTGAAACACCTTTTTTGACAGCTGACTTCTTCTTTTTGCCTTCTTATTCTCTTTCCACTATTGCAGTGCAGTTGGAAAAGCCTATTTCTCGACTAGTTTGTTACAACACAGCACCGTATGCATGAGGATGAAGGGAGAAAACCAAGGGAGAGGGGAAGCACAGAAACAGGTTCTGACATCTAATCAGATCTGCTGTATTGATTTTGCAGCTCCGGCTCTGGAGCAAGTCGGAGGAGCGGCGCACGGGCAGCCCGCACAAGCAGGCGGCCTGCATGCGCGCACACGCGCGGCCGCGGCCAGGGAAGCGCTCATCACCGGGGCTGCAGCAGCCGCACGATCCCCATCTCCCACCAGATGAGAATTCCAGAGCAAGCCACCGAACTAATGAGCTGCCCACGCTGGAAAGCTGTGTTTCAATTAACCACAGCAGCCCCTGCCGCACCCACATCCTTCCCCCAGTGTGAACAAGGAGGAGAGGGATAAACAGGGACTGCGCTGCTTCTGGGTCTGTTTTCTGCATGAAGGGAAAGGGAGGAGGCTGTAAAAGGGACGAGAGCAATTCTTGCCCTGCTTTCTTGGTTTGCAGTTTCTTTTTCATACTAATGGAAGGAGCAATCAACAGCACTGAAACCAAAGCTGCCTGCTGAGGCACAGACCAGGCAGTGCCACCATGAAGGCCTTCCACGTTTTCCAGGCAGGAGGAGACAGCTCAGGCACACAAACACTCAGTATGCACCCAGTTTCCTTTAAGGGTACACAGAACTGATTGACAAGGGAAGGGGGCTGTTTGGGTGGGCTGGCATTTGGACTATATTACCTGAGCAAAATCATAATAAAGCATTGCTTGGCCATGGGATGAGCTATAGGAAGAGCATGTTCATCTACCCTTTACACAGAAGTTCATCACATCTTTGCTTTCTTGAGGGTCACATCATAGTGCCTGCCCCAGACAGCTTCTGGCCATCTTTACCTGCCATCTTTCTCGTGTGGGGAATCATGTCCTCTCCCTTCAGCCCAAGATTCAGGTCTGTGATCCCACTCCAGACCACCTAATATGACTGAATTCATCCAAGCTCAGCACTGCTGCTCCCTCTGCAGGGGCAGTGAGGGTCAGGCGGGGTCCACATAGCTTTCAAAAGGCAACACCAAACCGGGGACACCAGCCAGTCTCGTGGTTCTTTGCTCCCAAGTGAAATTTTGCTGTATCTGTCATTGTCTCTTGATGTGATCAAGAGTCACCTTCCCTGCCATGTCCTTCCAAGTCCCGTATGCCTGAACCAGGCTGTCTTCATCAACGGCTCAAACCAAGACACACATTTTCACCCTGCTTAAGGGAAGCTTCTCCACACATACTTACCGCATGGAAATCTTCACACATTTCCCTATCTCATCCTGTCATCTAAGCCCTCCACGCTCCTGGATAGACAGAGATAATTTTAAAAGGGACTCTTCAAATACTCAAAGTGCCTTCAGGATTTCACACACCTCTGTTATTGCTGTGCTCCCAGCAGCTCACATCTGTGAGCAGTTTGTCTGGTTGGTTTCAGCCAGGTTGTCTGCTCTGGTCTCACTTCTCTTGTTCCTGGGGAGCGAGCCTGGGAGAAGTGTGGCAGCATGTCTAATGAGTGCTGCTGTGCTGTGTCTGGAGGCTTGTCAGTCACAGCCCACAGGCAGCATGCCCAGGTGTAAATTAACCTGTTCCCTGCCTGCCCCACACCTGCCAGATCTGCGCTGCTCAGAGTACTCTGCCAGTGTTCAGCAATTGCACTGCACTAATGGGACAAGAGCTGCAGGGAGAGCCACGGCATTCTATCTGGCTGCCTTCCCCCAGTCTGATTTGAAGTCTTGTAAGAGAGAGAGCACAGACTGCTGCATGCCAAAACACACCTCAACAGCTGTGGGAGCTGAGCAGGCATTCACTCCTCTGGAGGGAGAAACCTCTGCAGGGAAAGGATGGAGATGTCACCAATGCAGCATCCCGCCCTCTGTGTACAGATACTGCCTTCAAGTGGGGCTGGGAGAACCACCCATAGCTGAAATCACTCATTCCTCTGGAGGGAGAAATCACTGCAGGGAAAGGATGGAGATGTCACCCAATGCAGCATCCCTCCCTCTGTGTTCACCTCTGTGTACAGATACTGCCTTCAAGTGGGGCTGGGAGAACCACCCATAGCTGAAATCACCCCATACACCTGCTAAGTATCAGCTTCCTGTTACTCACAGCCTGGCTGTATGAAAACCATTTGGGAGTATACATTCCCTGTTACCTATCACTGCTTTTCAGGCAAAATGATTCAGGCATATCCAGGGGTAACTAAGTTGAAAGTGTTGTGGTGTGGAAATGATCTAAACAACATTCATTTTCCACCTTTTGAGTTCTTGACTTTACAAACTTACTAACATATCCTGAAGGTATTTTACACACATGTAATGCACATAAACACACCTGCTAAAGTTGCACTCATCCCCAGACACCGAAATAGAAACCATTGTCCACAAATACATCCAACACCTCTTCCTTCCACTTGCAACATGCTTGCCATATGGTACCCTGCCCTTAGCCTCGTGTAGCCTGACCAATTAAATATAAACTGTTCAAAGGTCCCCAGACAAAGCCTCTCCCTTCCACTTGCAGCATGCTTGCCATATGGTGTACCCTGCCCTTAGCCTCGTGTAGCCTGACCAATTAAATATAAACTGTTCAAAGGTCCCCAGACAAAAGAGATGTGTCTGCTCAGCCCAGTAAGAAAGGTCAACCCTGTCTAGCCCCCAGGCTTTTGTGTACACAGGCATTCAGGCAGGCACTCCAGCACTGTATGGCTGTACTCACACTGCACGTTGAGCTGCACCAGGGCTTCCCGGGGTCTGATGTTAAATCCATTGTACCTGGCTGTCTGACACTTATAGGTCCCGCTCATTTCTCGGCTCACACTCTCCAGGTGCAGCTTCCCATCATATGTCTCCATTGTCATTGTCCCTGAAGGCATGGGGGCTTCCTTGTCTACCCGGGACCAGATGATGGGCGGCTTCGGCTTTCCCCGAACCTCGCACTGCAGCTCGGCCCTGGAGCCTTCCCGCACGGTGATGGCAGACTGACCCTTAGGGACACTGATTGTTGGTGGCACTAAAAGAGAGACAAGAAGGCAAACATTTTACACTGTGTTTTCAGAAAGTAAGGAATAGTCTCGAGATGCTTCTGATTGAGTCACACCAACAGCCTTGAACTCCAGAGGTTTCCACTCAACACAGTGCAACTCCTCTATGAACACACAGTCCATGCAAGTTATCCTGCAGGGTCTGGAGCTTCAGGGTGCCAAGGAGGATTCCAGCCTTTCCAACAGTGTGTCCCAATATCAATGCCAAGGGCCAGTTGTATTGGGGCAGACTCCAGCTCCCATCCCTCTGTTCGCAAAATGCTATCCAGCTGCAGGGATAGCATCAAGGAACACAAAGGCAAAAGACTCTTTGATCCATTTCTCAATTTCTCATCAGTGAATTTCTCAAGTGGAACTGCAGGTTTTTGGCCAAAAACAGAAGTCATATCTGCCAAGGTATCTAGACACCTTATCCAAACCAAGACTTAAAGGATAAGTGCTTGTAGATCCCATCTCCTGCCCTCTCAGAGGTCCAAGATCCCTGTTTGTTCCTAAACCACAGCAAGGAGTCAGCTCTTTTTAAGTGTCTTTGCTTATTTTACTTTTATTGCATATTCTACTTTTATTATTTATTTTGTTTTTATTGGTGAATGCACTGTGAATTTCTCACACCAATAAACCTCTGCTTATCTGAATGAGAGATGGGTCCCAGCAAGAATCACTCCTGGCATCCCTTTGAGGTTGGGAAGAGCTCACCCAGCAGAATGATGCCAAGCTGAGGCTAGAGTTGGAGGCACAGTAACATTCAAAAGAAATATCCAGCTATCAACTGACAACCAAAACTTTGCTGATAAACAAAGCTGAAGAGAAATCCAGTGAATACAGGGTACAGAGATGTCAGTGGGAAGAGGCTGACTGTTCACATCCCCAATTCCACCAAGAACCCAGGAAGGGGATTTTTGTGCTAAACCACATGTAATATTGACAATTTATTTGTGCTAGACTTTAGAGTCAACAGTTCAGCTGAGGTAAATATGGTCACAATCTATTCTGAAAGCTCCTTTTTCAGCCCTTCCTGCTGACAGTGGCAACACTTGGATTGACACTTCCATAACTGCAAGGGCCACGTACTTTGTTTCCATTTAAATCAAAATATAGGACTACAGAAGCTGTAACAAGCTGGTCTGACCAACATTAGATCAATTCAGCTCCAGCAAGGAGAGTGTGCTATGGTAATTGTACATGTTACAGCCTGCAGCTCTTTATGAACAAATTTAGGATGGATACAGCCTAATCTCCCTCTGCAGTGACCTTCCTATGCAACACGGAGGCTACATTTTCAATTTGCAGGTCTCCCGTGGGCTGGGGAATCTCATCACACCCTGTCCTGCACGGCGTGAAAGGACGGCAGCACTTTCAGCGCTAACGCTGCCAGCAGCCGCTCACCTGGTGAGCAGCAATTTTCTCCACAGGTAAAGTTGCAAATTGCATTTGAAGCTTTTTTTTTTTTTTTAATTAAAGCTATCACCTTGGAGCTGCTCAGTGGAGGCAGTCACTTTGATGAGCTCAGGTTTTGCTCATTGGGAAACATGGATCCAGTGCTGCTGTCCTCTTGCTCTGATCCTGTGGAGCAAGGTGTTTTATATGGGAATCACATGTTGGAGGTGGCTTGTTGCTGATTATGGGGATGTTGCATGTTGGACAGCCTTGGCTGCTGCATGGAGGGCTGCTCCAGTGGGGATGGCTGTTTTCATTCCCTGGGACACAAAGTGGTCCTGCTGGCCCAGGCTGCCAAAGAGAGGCTTCAAAATGCCCCAGGCTGCCCTCCTTCCCTTCCTCATTGGCAGCATCCACACAGGCACATGGGACTCACTCTCTTCCAGACAGGCACAGGGCAAGCTGTCACCACAGACACCTCCTTTAAGACAGCAACTGGCTGGTGCTTGGACCAACACCTGCACTGTCAGACACTGCCAAGCCCCCTGGTGGAATCATCCTGGGTCTCCCAGCTCTTCACAGCCTCCCACCCTTGCAGTCTTAAACACAACTGCACTCTGCCATCTAGTGATCTCGGGCAAAAAGAATTGTTCGAGGTGGTATCAGCCGTACCAGTTTGGGAAAGCCAATTTTGCACCAGGATTGGTGAGTTGTGTTCCCTGTTGGTATAACAGGGTTGGTGTTGGCTGGCATGGAGAGGTCCTACCTTCCATGGCTGTCCTCAGAAAGGAAGGACCATTCTTCAATGTTGAGTGGATCCACGGCACTGTCAGGGCTCAGTCTCCAGGCTGCCAACAAGAACTGGATGCAATCCTATTGGGAGCAGGCTGGCCCCAGTATTTCTAATGGGAGACAAGGGCTTCCCAAAGCATCAAGATTATTTGCAGCACTTTTTTCTGGAGAGCTGAAGTGAATAGCATCCAGAATTAAGAGTGAGCTCAGCCTGGCCTGTGATCCAGCACAACCAGGGACTGAAAAGGTGCAGGTCACCTTCTGTGAAGGTGAGGTCAAAATCTGTTGGCAGCTGACTCCTCTGAGGAGTCTTCCGTCAGATTACTAATGCAGTGTTTTTTGTACTGCACCCTCATGGTCCTGGAAAGGCAGCACAATGACATGGATGAAATGGAGAGCACAGCTGGACCCACCACTTCCGCAGAAACAGAAAGACAGCCCTGAGACTCTATATTTTAGTCCCCAGCATGACTGACAAACACTGACATATTTGTCCAGTCCTCACAGGGCCATGGGGTGAAGCTCTGACCCTGATTTTAGGGGGGAGGCATTTATAACACTGACAATCCTACAGAGAGGGCCCAAGACAGACTGCATTTTCAATCCAGTAAACATTAAAAATCTTCACAAAAATTGTATCCTGGACACAATGCCAAAGAAAAGAAAGAGCAGCTTTCTTTCTCTTTTACTCTCTTCTAAGCAAAGGGACACTCGAAATTTGCTGAAATACCACCACTTCTTCCTTCCTTCACAGTGTGGAGGTTTGTTTGAACAATCACACTGTAAATCTGCCTCTGTAGCTGGAGTGCACTTTGGACTTTTCATAGGGAGAAAACATAAAGGAAGATCTACTTGGTACATAATACATCTGACAGATAAGTTGTAACTATTACCCATCTCCAATCTGAGCCAAGTGCTTGCCTAAGGATGTAAGACCTTTCTCCACTAGCATTCAAGATATGCACGTGAAGTTCTTCAAAGAAGCCAGTAGCACAGGGCTGTGGGGCAGCCAGTGATGCCAAACACTCTTCTGGGATCCCCATCTGCCAGAGGGAGCTCACCTGTCTCTGAGGAGATGTTCACCTCCACACTGAGGTCAGGAATGGGTGCTCCCTGGAAGGTAGCCACACACAGGTAGGTGCCATAGTCACTGAATCTCAGGTCAATAATCTCCAAGCTGCAGGTCACAGGTGGGAGCTCGGGGTCGTTGCGGGTGATGAGCAAGCGGTCTGAGAACCTGGCTGGTTTTCCATTCTTGTACCATGAATAGACAACCTTCTCCTGGGGGACAGCATCTACATGGCATGAGAGCTTCAAGTCCTGCCCTAACTGGATGGTCTCGCTCTCTTTGATCACATCAGGAGTGATTTGGAATGTGGCATTCTTCATGGCTGAGATGAACAGAAGTGCAAAACTAGTTAGGGATATCAAAGTACCTCATGTGGGACAGGAAAACTGTTCTTTGCTCCTCAGGAAGGCAACATTTTCATGCAAAATCTGCCCAAAGACCTCTCCCACTTATGTTCCCACAAAATGCCCCAAGGGACCTCACATTTGGCACTCTGGGATCATCCAATTCAGGACAACACTACAGCCCAGGATGAAGCTGCTAACGGTGCTTGCACAGCCGTTGGTCTGGGAGCAGAGAAACTTGCACAGGCACTTCTCCAGAATATTAATTACTACTAAATATCACATCCGCCCTCAGCTGTACAAGAACAGCCAGGAGGAATGCAATTCCCCCAGTCCCTGAAAACACATGCTCAGAGAGAAACAGCAACTTACACCGCACCAGCAGGTTCACAATCTTCTTTGCCGGGTTCCCCACATTGTTGATGGCCGTGCAGTTGTAGTAGCCCGAGTCCTCCACGCGGATCCTCCAGATGGTGAGGTTGCCTCCTTGCACAAGGCTGTTGGGAGGCATTGGGCCAGGAGAGTGGGACCAAACCACTTCTGGCTGTGGGTCACCGCCCGTCAGAGAGCACTGCATGGTGATGTTGTCACCAGGGTTGACCACCAGAGTCTCATTGACAGACAGCTTCAGAGCAGGTGGGGCTGGAAAAGCACAAAGAGGGACACTTCAGAGGTTGAGAAAGACTCATCCACTTGCCTGTGCACAGCTTCATACTTTGTATGATTTGTTCTTGTTGATGGCTGGTTTGAGTAGGGACAGCTGGAAAGATCTATTAATTGATTACGAATATGAGGTGTTTGTGCATCTAAAGTATGATCATTATCATATCTTTGAATGAGAACACTCTGCTCTTTTATGGCTAGGAAGCAGAGCAGGCAGGACCTCACACTGCCCCAGAAAGCACTCTGCCAGTAGTGCTTAGGATTGGAGCACAAAGCAGCTATGACATTTTATCAGTGCTCAGTGCAGGTTCTCTATGGCTTTAGGATGCAGGTCAAAAGAAAAGCCTGATAAACCCACTCTGCACATATAGGGGTGGCAAACAGACAAAATTTGGCAGTGAAAAACCCAAGGCCTGAAGTTTCAGGCCACTGAACAACTGCAGCCAGGTGTAAGGGCAATGGAAACCTTTGTAGCCTTGATGTAGAAGTGAAGGAGAAAGGACAGCCTCAAAGGAGCCTGCTTGAGCCCAAGCACTGCTTGTGCTCAAGGACAGCTGGCATTAAACCACTCCTCTCACTCAGAGTTCCCATCCCAAGAAGCAAGCTTTGGGGAAAGTCTAGAATTTAAAAAAGCTTTCCTCTGCTATCCCATGATATGCCTCTCTATCTCTCACACCCAACTAGATGTCTTTGAGAGGCAAAGGCTTTGCCAAGCAGATAGTCCTTGCAGCTTGGAGACTGATATGGAGGACCAGGGTCTGTCTGCACCCTAACAGACCATTAACAGCAGCTCTGAACCGGCTCTTCATCTCCTTCACCTCCTCAGGGGTTTAATATGCTTTTCTGTACACCCGGGGGCCATCACAATCAGAGCAATTCACATTCAGCTGAGTTGAGACTGATTCAAAGCATCTACACAACCTCTCCTTTAAATGCCCTAGTACCTGTTTTTTGGTTTTGTTTTATTTTATTTCTGCACCCTTCTCACTACAGCCCCCTCCAGGAACTGATCCAAAATCCTTCCCCTTGTGTTCTCCCTTTCATTCCATGAAAAGTCTTTCAAAGCCTCTATGAGCACTATGACTGGCTCCATCTAGACAGAGCTGAGAAAGTAGCAGTCCCCAGCAAAAAAACAGGGAGTATGTTTTAAGTAACAGCCATAATAATGCAAAATAAGACATTGTTCCATATTCATGAAGCCTGATTTAACAGCATCATTATTTCTGCCTCTTCTCTCCCTGGACCCTGTGTTAATGAGCTGTGCTGGATTTGTGTTGGATCTCTGAATTACAGCCCACACAAACAAGGCAAGGAGGACTCTCCTCTCCTCAGCACCGGTGCCATAATTTAGTAGCACAACTACTGCCATACTGGGATATTGCTTTGGTGTACTGAATATAATCTCCTCCCTGGCCACTGCACATGCCATTTGTGTCAGAGGGGGCCAGCTATGCCTAAGGAAGAAGGTGGCTCTTCTGCTACCTCCTCTGGCCATTTTGAAGCCAGTGGCTGGAGCCTTTGAATTTTGGAAGGCCACAGCCTGAACTCAAAGAGACTTTGTCAGATCTCTTTGCAGGAGTCTTGTAAATAGTGTGCAAGGGTTAATGCTTATTAAATAGCAAAGGAAGGATTTGTACATCCTCACCAAGCTCCAGATGGTTTCATGAGACACTATGTAGCCCAGAAACACAATAGCTCAACTCACCGTGGTTGGGCAGGACACATTCCTGTCACTAACTCAGTGCAGCTGACACCAAATAGCTGTTCCTGCCCTCGGACATTGAACTGGTCTGAGGTTCACAGTGCACAGACAAACTGGCAGATGCAGCATCTTGCCTGGGAATCTCCATCCATCCCTGTCAGAGACAGAGAAAGCCTGAGACCAGCCCATGTCCAGAGAGAAGGTGTCAGAGCTGGGCAGCACAAACCAGAGGTCCTGCAGACTCTGGTTAAGATTTAGGGTTTTTGCAGGTTTAGGGTTGGAGATGCAAATATCTGGCCCACACTCATCTTGCCCAGCTCTGGCAACATGTTGAAAAAGTGACATGTTGGTGCAAGCACTGCATGAGGGCAGGCTGTGTGTGCACACATGAATGAGGCAGGGAAACTGCAGATCTGCCACCTGCCACAGCTCCAGGCAGCACGCTCCCACGACATGCTCCAGAATGGAGCCCTGGCTGTGGCAGCCTGCGTGGGCTACCACTCCCCACTCCCACTCTCGTCAGCAGACAGAGGTTAACAGACTGCAGACATTGTTATGCAGGAGATGATTCTCATTTATTTGTAACCTGTGGCAATTCCTTTTGTTCTTGGCTCAGAAAACCTGCTGGCGGAGTCTGCCGAGCAGCGAGGGGACCATTAAAAACAAAGAATCGCTTTCAATTCCCTTTGAAGTCCAATTTGCTGCAGTAAAACTGCAGGAGAATTAACCAGCTGGGCTGCTTAATTTTGCAGAAATTGAGGCAGGGGGAAAAGTCAGGCTGACCCTGCTGGAGCAGGAGATGGCAGCCTGGTGGTGAGCTGGACCTGTGGCTCTGTGGACCCAGACTGCTGCTCTGGAGCCAGGCAACAGCAGCAGAACAGAGAGGGAGCAGGGACATCTCCTTCCCACTAAGGTTGCAGACAAAGAACCCGTGCCCTGCTGCAAGGCCCAAGCTGATGAGCAGAGCTTGGGACAAGTCCATCTCCTTACCAGAGACTATGATCTGCCCGAAGGACAGTGAGGAGCCAGCTGAGGAACAACAAGTGAGCTGAGGAGATCCCCCTGGCCCGACCTGACCTGACCCACCAATTCACCTCAAGGTCTGCAGTGCCTGGACTATAAATATTTAAGAGAGAGAAATTTCCAAGCATTTCAGCACCCTTTGGGCCCCTCTCAGTTATAAAGGCAAAGGCATCCTGAATGAAGCTGCTCAGGATTCTGGGCACAGCCAGGTCTAGAGAAACTGTGAAAGCACAAGAGCAAGGGGAACAGAAAAGACATAGGCAAAATAGGAGAGAATTAAAGAATTTCATTTAAATATTTCCTCACCTATGCACAATACTACCTACAGGGCAAGTAACCCATATAATATTTCATGTTAAATAAAGCCATGCTATTTAACATAAACCCTGCTCACACTGCAATGCCAGCTTCATTTTCTCTGCCAACTTTTAATACAATTTGCTAAGAACACATTTTCCATGGCCCTTTGAGCTTGTAGTACCAGGCTCCACTGTAACTATGTATAAATATGCATTTATAATTTAAAAAACAGGAGAAAAAAACCCTACATAGATGTGCTTAAGAAGCTGGTGTAAATTGAGTCATATCACTGACTTGTCAGCAAGTACAATCTGAGAATACATTTTCCCCATTCACTTAGTACAGGGCCTGGATTGAAATGAGGAGTAGTTTCCCTGTGCTTGGGCTGGCAGGGGGAATGGATATAAAGAAAAATTTGATTTTCTAACTCTTCAAAGGTAAAGGTACACATGGAAGAAGAGCTGTATAAGATCCCTTTCTTCATCATGAACAGAAGATAAGTTTTTAAAGGAAATATTTCAACATTTGCTACACTCTCATCCTGAGAGAAATTCAGCTAATAGGGTGAATTGTTTGAGACATGTTTAGAAATCTTACTACAAAGAGAATACTTTTTTTCTGACATTATCTAAAATTCACTTTCTTAAGCTCATTATTTTTCTTCTTCCTATATAAAATGAGGCAACTATTGTTCAGCACCTTGGAACTCCACTCAGATCAATAAACATAATTTAAATGGTATCAACAGTATCCTGTCAACAGTTAACAACATCAAAAAAAGTTCTGTTTCCACTGCACAAAGATGACACAAGGGATGCAAACTGCTTTGTGTTACATTAGAGAGGTGAATAATTCAAACAGCTGCAATGCCTTTCTCTCTGATCATAGAATACTCCAGGGCTGGAAGCAATTTCCTGACATTTACTTATTATTTGCAAATATTCAACACACTTGGGAGCTTTACAGGTGGGGATTTTTTATTGTGTGTGTGATTTTGATTTGGGTTTCTTTAATGGACAGGTTGCAATCAAGTGCTTGCCAGTATTTGATACATGACACTCAGTTATCGTTCACTTACTGCACGTCAAGCAGGCGGCACCAAAGTGAATCTGCTCACAGCTGGAGGTGCCCTCAAGCACTGCCAGTATAAATATGAGTGTAAAATGTATTTTTTGGGAAGGCACTGGAGATGTGTGCTTTCCACAAACACTGGCACCAGCAGAGCCCGTTACCTGGGAGGTGCTTAGAGCACAGCCTGGCAAACCAGGCTTGGAGTTACACATGGATGAATTATTTGTAAGAACTCCTGCAGCACTGCCCCACTCCAGACTGCATGAAATCTATTTTTAAAGTCACTTAGAATTATAAATAAATAAAACAGTGTATGAATTAGAAGCTACATAGTGCCTCAACACCTACACGTAGTCTGTTTTAATGATCTCATGGCAGGCCTGGCCACATGCAGCGCTACAAGAAACCAGAGCAGCCCTGGCCACAAGACTTCCATGTGAAGGATTTGTAATCCCAGCAGCCACGTAAACAAGGTCGAGGTGCTGCAGGCCCTGGACAGAGTGCTGTGTTATCCTCCTGGGGGAGTAATGGCTGTTGAGGAGGTGAAGGGTCAGGGGGCTGCAGGGACCCTTCCTGTCCCCTCTTACCTGTGGTGTTTGTGAGCTGGAAGGTGATGGATTTGTCAGGGATGCTGCAGACATTGCGGACAGACACCTGGCACGTGTAGCTGGCATAATCCTGAGGTCGAAGGTTCTTCAGCTTCAGGACTTTGGTTTCACCCTGGGATTTGGGAAAAATAGGGGCAAGAAAAGACACAAGTGTCCAAAGCACAGATCATCATTCCAAGCCCATATCCTGTCCCAAACTTTACAGATTACCAGCAGCTCTCATGAAAGCCTTAGGGAACTGTGCAGATTTCAAGTCCCCCTCAGCTCTATACAAAGGAGACACAAAATGTTTGCAGTGGTCATTTCACCTCTAGGGTTTCACAAAACACCCAGCAACTGACCGACATGACCTGACAGCACTGCCAAACAGGTCTGGGCATAATTTCTCATTAACTACTGCCAGAAACATCTTGTAGAACATGACAAACCTCAACCATCGCAGAACAGACCCTGAGATCTAACTCGGATATGTCAGTAGGAACCCAAAGGAAGTCACTGGGGACTCAACATTGCCATACCAAAGTAAATCAGAGCAGATTGAGGCACTAATACTGGCCTAAATATGACAAGTTCAACAGTTATGCTCTAGAAATCTACAGTACAGGAGGGAAAAAAAAAATCAGAGAAATACTCAAAGAACTTCCAAAACTTTCTGATGCCTCTTCTCCAGATTCTAATCTCATTTATGCTGATGTAAATCCAGAGTGACTGCAGAGACTTTGATAGCCTTTTCTCATTCTAAGGTAACAAATAAAATCACTGCCTGCACTCCATTAGTTACTGGCTTGTTACAGAAACAGAATCAACTCGTTACATTAACGACAGACGTGTTCTGTAGACTTTTATTTATGGAATGCAGAAAGCTCTGAGAATCATCCTATGGTTTGCACACCCTGCAACTCGTACGTCTTCTGCTGACAGCTTGTTGCTGTTGTTCTCCTTGAATTTGTCTAAATCTCTTTTGAAGAAACCATTCCATAACTGCCTGCAAGTGTGAGGAGGTGTCAGCATGACAAATCTTCCTGAGGACAACCTCAAGGGACTGGACAATGAGCTCAGGAATGCTAATATGCAGAGAACAAGGATGTGGAGTGAGTAAATTAGAATGATAAAACCTAGGGCACCGATAACACAAGAGAGTCCTGTCCACTGAGAATTGCTGTTATGCCACACAAATTATGGCATTTACAATATGCACTTCATCTCCAAACTTACAGGGTCATATGTATCTCCTGTTTATTGATTAGTGAATTTAGGTATATGGGTATAAACCACCAGTGTAAGTAAGTTTTAAAAAGCTTAAACAGTGAAATCTTCATCTTGTTTTTAATGTAAAAGCCTATTCAAACCTGACACTGATAGAGGTTTATCTCTAAGACAACACTGCAAACTCCAGTGAAGGGTACTTTGTTAAACATTCCAGCCAGATTTTCCCCTTCCAACAGTGCTGCAGAGGTGTGTTTTTGTTAACTTCAACTCTTACCAACCCAAACTTACAGGCTTGTGCTGGTGTTAAGGAGAGGACCACAAGGGCATGCCTGTCTGAGCACAGCAGTCCCAACACCCTCTTTCAGAGCTGGGAATGACCCATCATGTCAGGAGCATTGCCTGACAGGAGCTGCAGTGTGCTGGGTCATTTAAACATTAATGCTGCAACATGGTGAATTTTTGCCAGATGCCTTGTTTAGCTAGAGAAAATATCCCAAGTCCTAAGACATCCTCTCATTAGGCAATGTCTCCCGTTAATTACACTGAGCCTAGTGAAAACTGGAAGAGCCCATGGTGGCTTCCTCCAAGGCCAGGGATGTCCTAGTTGGGAGCCACATAGCACACAGACAAAGCTGTCTTCAGGGCCAAACAGCAGCGCTGACCTACAGTGTTTCTGCAAATCTGCCACTAACCAGCAGCTCTCTCCTCCCTCCCTCCTCATCCCCCTGAATATTTCCATTTGGATGCCCATTTCCACGACCTACAGAGATGGCGTGTTTCAATAAAATATGAACATGACTACATTAACTTAAAGGTTGCCTGGGGCATTACTCAGAAATCAAACTCAGCCAGAATGTGCTCTGGGCCCAGCTTTGGGAATGCAGGAAGGTGCTTGGGATGAAACAGGAGCCCTGGGGAGCTGCCCTTTCAGCCCTCCCTTCCCACCCATCCCTGCCATGTGCTCCCTAGCAGCCTTGCTGGAAGTACTGGGGCTGATTAGCATCTAAAGTACATTCAGCTCCTGAGCTCAGCTTAGGATAGCATGCTCAGAGTGCCCCGGCAAAAGAAAAATTCCCTTCCATCCCCCATTGCATTGGCTGGCTAATTACTGTGAAGAAAGTGGTGTTTACAGGGAAAACCTGTTGTGCAGGGCAAGTCCAACACAGGTGAGCAGGAGAAGGTGAAAAGACATGGACACCTTGTCCTAGGACAAGTCAGGAAGTGCCCAGGCATTGGGCTCCCCATTACTTGTGGCCACTAGAAGAACTCATGGATCCCACAGCAATGCCTGCCATTTGCTCACACTGCTAAAGAGGAAGCCCTTCCCTAATATATGGAGCCTGGGCACTCAGTTAAGAAAAAAAATTAGTGATGGGAGATAGAGAAAATCCAATCTTGTGATTTTTTGGATCTTAGTCTCAGCCATCCAACAGCTGCATAACCTCAGTAGGAGAGCTGTGTCACTGCTCTCAGGAACGGTGATAAAAAGGGAAAGGTCCTCCTAAGCCACACTCCTTCGTTCTGCTCTGCTCCTCTTGTACCCTGGGAATTTGCATGAGAAGGAAGGTCCACCTGCCCTTCTGGAAGCAGCACTCCTTAGAGTGGCCTGCAGCCTCTCCCCAGCATCATAATCCATGCAGGGAAGGAAACACCACCCACCACAGTGCCCTGCATCAGCAAGACACTCAACACAAGTTGGCAGAGGTTTGCTTATTTTCACCTGTGTGTAAAGGGGTTCGTAGATGTCCACACCATTGTCCTGACTGTGAGAAAGTGTCTCAGCTCCCCGTTTCCAGATGAAGCGAGCTGGGGGGTTGGAGTTGACTGTGCAGCGGAGGAAGACGGTCTTCTCCTGGTAGAAGCTGCCACGTACATCACTGATGGTCTGGTGAACGGTGAGAACAGGTTCATCTAGATCTGCAAGGGAGGTAAGGAGGGTCGCAGCCATTGTTAGCAAAGCTTGGTCTGCGTGTACAGCCTGCAGAGCAGATGATGCTCCAGGTACCACTGAGGAGAGGGGAAGGTCCCACACATCTGGCTGATGGCAACTGCTGATTTAAGAGAGTTTTACTACCTGAGGGCAGGTAGTACAACCAACATATAAAGGGAACACACAGGAGAAGCTGGAATTCTCCCGCTCACCACACAAACCTTCAGAGAATAGAAAGCAGTCTCTGTTTTGCAGAGCCCCATGCAGTCCTCAAAAAAACCCCACCTGCCTGCCACATGTGTCTCAGAGCAGTGGGCTGCCTCATATTCCTCAATGGTAGCCCCCTACAGAAAATCACTACTTTCTACTTCAGTGAGAGGATCCCAGTAAGTTCTGTTCCATCATAATTTCTCCATCTTCTAGTTTCCAAATCGCTCCTGCAATCATGGGACTAAGCCCAGGGCTGTGAGATGTCCATACAAATGACATGACAAACCTTCAAGACAAGGAATGAAACAAAAAATCAGAACAAGATCAAGGAGCTGAGTTGGAAAGTCATTTAGACAGAGCAAATCTCATGAGGAATCACAGTAACGTGAGATGCAAAACACTGTAATAGGTATGCGTAATTTCTCTCTCTTCCTATTAAATATCCTCCATGTATTTTCTTCAAAGTCTGTATCAACTGTCCTTTGGCAGCTTCCAGTCACTGCAACACCATTACCACTCCCTAAACTGATTAGATTATTTTGTTCTCTTTTTTTACAGAAGATGCTCCTTTCAATTCTCTTATTGTACCTGCACCAGACATGCAGCCACCATGACTGAATCAATGGTTATCAGTGGCTACATTTGCAAGGACAGAAGCAATAGCCCTGCAGGAAGAGGATTTTCTCCATCCACACAGAGCATACTGCCCCCCTACAGCTGCCCAAGGGATGATTTTCTCAGAAGTTGCAGCAGATATCAATGTTTGAACATCAAGGCTGAATCAATGGTTATCAGTGGACACATTTGCAAGGACAGAAGCAATAGCCTGGCAGGAAGAGGATTTTCTCCATGCACACAGAGCATACTGCCCCCCTACAACTGCCCACCTGTTAAAAAGGGATGATTTTCTCGGAAGTTACAGCAGATATCAATGTTTGAACATCAAGGTAGCATGGGTGACACCTCAGAGGCAGTGGATCGTTCTCCTCACAAAACCACTGAGACTGTGTTTAAATGTAAAGATCCCTTTTGACAAGAACTGGCACTGTAAAATGGAAGTCAGTCTCCAGGCAGTGGATCTTTCTCCTCATAAAACCACTCTGAGACTGAGTTTAAATGTGAAGATCCCTTTTGACAAGAACTGGCACTGTAAAATGGAAGTCAGTCTCCGTGTCTTCAAGTATGTCTATAAGGCACCTTTTGAGCTCAAGCTGAAGCAATTCTATATTTTCAGGAGCATTATGACCCCATTTCCAGCTGCAAGAAAACCAAGGTACTTGTACCCAGTACCCTCTTGTGCTGCCAGCATGATCCTCTGCACATGCTTAACACGTTCATCACCTCCTGCCCTCCCATGCCACCTACTTTTGACAGTATTTTATTTTACAGATTTGTAAGTTTGGAGATCTGACTTCCAGAAAGGAAGAGGGAAGCAGGGATGAGTTTCTGCTAACATGTCATCCAAACAACGTATGCTCTCTGCTGAATCACAAGTATCAACTTGTGGGTTTGCATCTTTTAACGAGCTGTATGCTCTGCAGACAGCAATTGTTATGCGACCTGAAATTTGTCTGACTGACCATAGCTCAGAGATATGAGTAGAGCTGTTAATGGAATAATGACAAGAACAAAATATATCCCAGCAAAAAACCTCCACCAACTAAAAAACAATCACAGCTGAAGAGAAAACATATGCAGATGGAAAAAAGTCTCCTCTCCATACAGTGCTGTCTTCATGTGGCCACAGGATGACTGAACATCAAATTCTTTTGGACCACGACCTTTTGGACCAGAGTACAACCTCTCCTCCTTTCCTCATTCTTTGTCTTTAACCTTACTTTATTTGGTCAAACTTCACATGAGTGACTGTAGCTACCATCCTTCTGAGACTGTTTCTCAGCAGGTAAAACACTTGCCTTACTAAGTGAAAAAGCAGCTCACTGTTCCAGTCTCCTGGCTCCCAGCTACTCTCCACACTGAAAACAACACCTTCTTTTTGGTTGCTAAAACTTTCCTCCTTTGAATTCTTCGAGTACAACCTCTCCTCTTTTCCTCCTTCTTTGTCTTTAACCTTACTTTATTTGGTCAAACTTCACATGAGTGACTGTAGCTACCATCCTTCTGAGACTGTTTCTCAGCAGGTAAAACACTTGCCTTACTAAGTGAAAAAGCAGCTCACTGTTCCAGTCTCCTGGCTCCCAGCTACTCCCTACACAGAAAACAACACCTTCTTTCTGTTTCTTGCTAAAACTTTCCTCCTTTGAATTCTTCAGCCCTCTTTTGTAAAAGTCAGCTCTAGGTCTAGCCCTCCTGAGAAAAGCTAAAACAAGACCTACGACAATGTGTATGTCCTTGATGTATGAGTATCGCCACTGATGTCAGTGAGCTGCTCCAATGATAAATTTGGCCCAAGGCTGTTCATGGAGATGATCACATGGGATGTTTCATGCACAATAAAAGCTTGTAAACACTCACTCTTTTCTTTTCCTTACCTTCTCTCTCTCTCCCACATGGAAATCCTCAGAAGAGCAGCTGCCCCTCTGCCAGTACCCAACCAATACTTTTAAGCCTCACTGATGCCCACTCGGGGCAGAGGAATGTTATGCCACATGGGTTAGTGTTTCCAGTTTAATATCCTCTTGGCACTAACGATGGACTCTGCACAACTTCACTGCCAAACACTAAAAGTATGACTGAGGACTAGCAGCAGCTGTCAAGGACACCAAGGTACACATGAGAGTGATTACTTACCTCTAACTACAAAATGGGATGCAGGAAAAGAAGGGGTTTGTTTTCAAATTCTGCTTCATTCAGCTGAGGGTTGCCTGGGTGAGCGTTCAACAAAAACTGTGGCTTTTCCCATGTGTTCCCTTGTACCTACTGCAAATACTAGCAGAAAATAGTCTCTCCTCTCCAAAAACCAAGTGAGCAGAACAGAGGTGCAGTACCAAGTCCATCTGCAGAGTAGATGTTAGTATGAGAAAGCCCTTGGCCACCCCACTAGCCCCACAGTTCTACAGGTCAGAGCTGCATGAGGGACAACAGGACACTACATCACTCTAGCTCCAGCCTGCACCGCGGGAGCACCCTCAGGGCATGAAGAGATTTCATGGCACAGTCCTGTTCCTAGAGATGCTGGCCCTGGCAAGGTATCACACTGAGCCTTGAGAAAACCAAGTATCCTTTGCAGTGGAGGGTTATCATACGCCTCCACTACGTGTAGGAGAAGAAACAGGCAGAGAAGCCAAGCAGATCTAGGGTGGGTGCCAGAACTTTTCTAAACACAGTGATGCAATGCCAATGAAAAAACACTCATCCTATCCACAGTGGCTGCTGTTGAAGCAATCTATTTCCACAGCCTAGATAGGATAGTGCCCACACTACACTACTCCAATAAAGGGTAGGGCAAGGAAGGAACAGATGGGAGCTACTCCCAGCCATACAGTACGTCAGTGGATCATGAACCTGCCAAAAGCTAAGGACGCCCAAGTCTGTGGCACATTTTGTGAGAGCCACATCACAGCTGGGCTGGACAGCAGGACTAAAAGAAGCAGTCGGGCAGCAGCTGCTGTCAGCAAAAAGGTCTGCCCAGACTCCAGGCACGTACTGGGGTTTTGGAGGTTGTTCCACTGACAGACAACCACAGTGCCCCTAAGCTCAGAAGGAAGGAGAACATCTAGAAGGAATGTAGAACAGCTCATGACAGATTCAGGGACAGATTCAGCTGCTTTTTACAACTTTTTTTAGCATCAACCTCTTGCCTTCTCAAACAATATGAGTGAGGAGAGGGATGTTGTTGTTAGTTGGGCTGGAGAAAACTGGAATAGTGGATAGTCAAGGACAATGTAATGGTAACCTTCTCCAAGAGGGCAAAACAAGTTGCCTAGGCATTAAGTCTTTTATTTCTCCCATTTGGGCCTTATGGAGCAAGTTTAGTTTCCCTCCCTTTTGATCACAGCAACCCAAGAATAAACACTAAGTCCAAGAAACAAACATTAAGAGAAACCCTCAAAACTTGAAGGCCAAGGTGGAAAACCACTAGCAGCATCTCCAGGACTCAAGAAGGATGGGTACCAAGCAGAGAAATGTTGAGTCACCTTCACATTCACCCTTATCAGCTGCATTCCAGAGTTTTCAGCTCTGTTTCCATCATGCTACAGAAGTAGCAATGCTGGGAACAGGACACTGGTTTCAGGAATGCCCCCAACATCCGGGGCACTACCAGCTTCAAGAAACATTGCTTTCTTCAAGCTCTGTCAGCTTCAAAATGAAGATGAAAGCAGAAGCCACTCCCAGTGCTACATCCCGGACAAGTGCTGTCACTGTTGTCAGACATCACAACACCTAGATAAGAATGAATCACAACGACAGCAGAGCTGTATTTTGCAGGGATGGATCTAATCTCCTACTCAAAACAGACACTGGGGAGACCACACCAGTCCCTCTGCTCCCGAAGCAGGTGCACATGGTCCTAGGGCAATGCAGCTCCCTGCTGGCCCCGCAGCGAGGCAGAGACATGCAGTAGAACTGTGGGAAGGTCGGGGCTGCCGCTAAACGACTTACACTGCACATCTACTCGAATGGACTTGATGGCAGGGACCCCAACCCCATTTTCTGCTTTACAGTAATAGCGGCCCCCCTGCAGCCTTTGGATCTTCTCAATCCGAAGGGTCTCGTTAAGCACTGACGTCTCTTGGAATTTGTCCGACGCGCTGCCAGCAGTTTTGGTCCATCTCACCTGCATAACAAAAACAAAAGAAATGAAATCAGGGACACAAAACAGAGATCCCAAGATTCAGCAGAACTCCCTTTGTTGCTCTTCCCCCTCTTCCCTAGCTACTTCCATAAAGAGGTCCTTCAGCACTGCCAGACTTGCCAAAGCTCAGGTGCTGATCTCAGTATGTCTCAGAAGCCCAGCCGCTGATTCTGGTCCACTGCCAATCCCCATGTCCAAGAGCCAGGGTAACTCCTCAATTCACCCAGACACACACTGCATGTTTGCCACTCCTGCTCTGATCCTGCAAACCCAGCAGCTTGCTCAGTTTTATGCCACCATTTGCACAGCACAGGACTTTCAGTGTTCAGCCTTGAGACCCCATGTGGCTGGTAGGCCACGACACTACAGCAGACATTGGCTCACAGCTACAGAGCTTTTACTGCAGTCCACACTCATCTTCTTCTGGACAGGAAGGCTATTTCTACTTTTTGCTTTTCCACGAGTGAGAAAAGGCAGCTGCTATTTGACTCTTTCCCCTCTCCCATTGGGAGCCCCTTTGTGTTTTATTTTTGTAAGTCATTCTTTCGCAGCACACAAGATTTTCCTCTGTTTTTAAAGATACAGAAAAAAAAAAAAAGAAAATTCCTTCAGATTTCAAGCCACCTTTTCATTTGTTTGTCCTTATGTTACATGTCTCAAGATCCTGGCTTGAAGGGGCAACAGAGCTGCATGACATTTCATGGTGAATGGTGGCAAGATGACAGCAATCCCAAAGACTGAAGGGTTTCTCTTTTGTCTGGAATGAGATACAGCCCTCACAGCAGAAGTACAAGCTTCCCCCCTGTTTGTGCACTCCACACAATGAAAGAGAAAGATGGCTTTTCTCAGCCCATTGGTTTTCTATATCTGCAACCTCCCTTGTAAAGGCTGCTGACTGCTGGCCTCCTACACTGGGACAATTTAGACTCTGGAACTGAGATCCAGCAAGATCAACCAGAAGAAAGAAGAGACACTTTTATTCAGCATTGGCCATAGATAAGACAGACCAAATACCTTGGCTACTCTTCCAGACTTTGCCCAAAACTCACTGACATCACCTGATTGGTGCTGATGCTCTAGAAGGAGCAGGGGTGTCTATATCCCATCCCAGAGCACCAGGCTGAGCAGATATTTGGAGCTATTGACCATGGATTTATTCAGCCATTGTGAAATTGTCTGAGAGCCCCAAGACTTTTGGAGTCTCCTGCTTTGAAGGACACTTCAGCAAGCTCTTTAATCTTCCCAATCACAATCTCATTTTAGTATTTTGGCCACATTTTCATGCTTTAATGACTGGCTGATAGAAAGGGAAAGAGAAGATTAAAAAAAGGTTAGGATAAGAGCTTAGCTGGGGAAGAAATCAATCCATTAGGAGAGAGGGCAGAAATAGGATCCACGTCACATTTTATATGTGCAGGTTCCAGTCTCCATGGCCATGCCTGGTTCTAGGCTCTGGTGTCCCCTGTGCAGGGGGACAAATGACAAACCAGAGTATTGCCCATTAGCATGCTGTCTGCAACAGGCTCTGCTCCAGAAATCTCTCTAGCTACTCAGGCTCAAATCCCTACGACCTGCCATGACCTTTCCATGCATTCAACAACCTTAGGCAAGGCCACTGCTACCAAATTCCCCATTTCTGATGCACACAGATATCATTTGCCTATCACTGTCGCAGGCCTAGGCTGGTTGTTTTTACTGACTTGGCTCAGGTAATTTTCTTTTTATTGTTTCCAGGATATTTTGATGGGAAAACCATTTCAAATCCTCACCTTTGTCATCACCTCGCTGCCAAGCAGCTCCTCACAAGCAAGTCCCCAGAGGCATTAACTGGCATGAGAAGATGCATGGCTTCTTGCCACAAGTATCTCTGGCAGGACTGAGGAACAGGGCTGAGGCACATACCACAGGTGGCTCCCCTGAGTGTATTCTGGCACACCCAGCCTCACAGTGTGCACCAGCTTCCACTCCTACCACGCTCTGTCCCAGAGCTGGCAGACCCATGCCCTAGGCCAGTACCTCTACAGACACCTCCACACCAACACTGAACTGCTCAGCTTGAGTATCTGAGGGGTGCTGAGGTGGCTGCACGGGCCTGAAGCTGTGCAAACCTCTGGGCACCCCAAGTAAGGACTGCAGCCGTCAGCCAAGCTCAGCTTTGCACCTCCCCAGTGGACTGTGTCTCTGACCACAGCACGGATGTGTCCAGTGCTGCAAGTCTGACTCTGCCTTTGCCTCTGCTTGGTGGCCACAAAGCAATGAACAGCAGGTTCTGTGTGGGGCTCAGTGAGGTGCACTACCAACAACTTCCTGAACTCCCCCAAGCAGCATCCCCTTGGCTGTACATCCAGAGAAGCTGAGAAATGGATGGACCATGAAGGACCAACTTCTAAGGTAAGCACATATGGGAAGAGTCTTCTAGAACGTTCCTGTTTTGCAAGAGTGTTAAAAATTTGAGATTTCAGTTTGGACTTTAGGTTTTTGGAGGGACTTCACATACCGAAGACAACTGGAAGGTCTTTGTAAGCTTCTGCAAAGCTTTGTGGACTGTTTTTCATGAAAGCAAGCTTCATAGCTTCACAAGCTAAGTGCTTGCAAAATGGGGCACTCCTGCCCAAGTCCAACGTGTAGGGGAAAGCTGGACACCCCACCACCCACAGTTCTCTGTGTGGAGATACAAACAAGCACCATGGAGGAGCACAGGTGCCAGGCAAGGCTGAAGGCTTACCTGTGGCCGGGGGTGTCCTGTGACCAGGCACTGCAGGACCAGCGTGTCCCCCTCCCGAATTGTGTAAACACGTTCGCTGATGTTGTCTTCCTTCACCACACATGCCTGCCCAGCATGGATGATTTGGGCCTGAGCAGGAGCTGGAGAAAGGAAAGAAGAGGTAAAGATGGAAATGGGCATTAGCCCATCTCCTTATGCCCACCGCCCAGGGTGGCTTCCCCCCTCTTCATAACCACAGAGGGGAAGAGCCAGGCAGTTCTGGGAATGAATCACAGAGAGCCTGAGCAGGAGCTGTAGAAAGGAAAGAAGAGGTAAAGATGGAAACGGGCAGTAGCCCATCTCCTTATGCCCACTGCCCAAGGTGGCTTCCCCCCTCATAAACCACAGAGGGGAAGAGCCAGGCAGTTCTGGGAATGAATCACAGAGGTTTTAGGAGATGTATTATTAAGCAATTTTCCCCATTTCCTGAGTGACTAATATAAACTACTATTTTAAAACCATTGGTTCTACAGGGATGAGCAGCTCTAGACACTGAAAAGCAGAATATGGCACCTTTTTGGGGCGGACCCTCCTGCATGGGTTGAGGACTAAAAGTTTCCTGCTGTCGTCTCTCCCAGAAAGGAGTATGTGCAAGCAGCTATAGCAGGGACCTGGTCAAATCACAATTGCTCCATGCCTGTCTAAAATAAGCCTGATTACTATGATTTACCTTGCAGGGGGCTGGGATAACTACTGAGCAGAGTAAGAAAGGGCCCTGAAGCTCTGTACAGCTATTAGCACATATCCCTAGAACAGGCAAAGCAACCACTGCAGGAAAAACAAGCCTTTCCCATATTAAATAGCAGCCTGTCTCAGCCCTAAGCCAAAGGAAGCAGCCTCTGCAGGACAAGAGAACCCCATAATCTGTACAGATTTCTCCACCTACGGCTGCTAATGGAGACCAATTACTGCCAGTCCAGCCAGGAAAATAGGCGAAGACCAGTGCAGTGGAAAAGTACATAGGCAGAAAGTTCCCAAAAAAGTTATAAAATGTCCAACAACCCCAAACAGCACCTATATCCCACAACAGCCCAGATGGGAAGCAGGAAGAGATGAGCTCTAGTAGAACAGGGTTTTATTAAGAAAAAAGCCTCAGCTCTGAAATTCTGTGCAAACAGCCTTTGGCTCCCTACTCCAAAGCGTTTGTGTGATCAGAGAAGTGGCTGAGCTGCATTGAAGGTGACTGTGCAGCCCAGCTGCACACCTGTGCTTGTTTGAGGGGGAAACTCCAGTTGCACTTCAAGATACAGAGAAACCCACAAACATGTCTAAGAGTTGGTGTCTCACTGACAGTCCCCTGGGATACTTACCCAGATTGCAAGAATGCTTTCAGATTACTCTGGAGTCACAGCTCTAGCTCCCATTAGTGAAATACAACAAAAATGAACAAGCCACAGAGGAGATGATCAAAGGGTTTAAAGCAATGAGCCTTCCTAAGCAAGAATAAATTTTGCACAACCTGTTAAAGCTGAGCCAAGCACCCACTTTTTCCTGAAGGTAAGTTGAGCTTCAAAAACTGCCTTTTTAAAAATTATTTTCACTCCCTTGGCATGACCAAAATACTCTAGAACAAATCACCTGGGCTCAGGTTTTTGCTGGTTTAATCCGACTGCCTTTTTAAAAATTATTTTCAATCCCCTAGAACAAATCACCTGGGCTCAGGTTTTTGCTGGTTTAATCCACCAGCAGTACAGACAGCAGGGCAGGCTGGCTCAGGCAGTGGAGAAGATCTGCCTTTGAGGTCAGCCTTTATAAACTGGTGTCACCACAATGCACCTGACCAAGCTGCACGGATATGAGAGTGGACACAGAGCTAGTGAGAAACCACCCTTGCTGCTGGGGCTTTACAGCCTGCCATGGCCACCCAACATCCAGGCAGCACCACTCAAGCTAATCTCTCATTTTCCATCTCTTCCATCTTTCCAGCATGGTGGCACTTTTTAAAAATTATTATTACTCTCCAAATTGTTGACAAACAGAAGCAATATATATATTTGAATAATATGATGCTGAATAATATGATGCTGAATAATATGATCTGATAATATGAACATGGATAAATCCCTCAGCCTCTACCATCTTCCCCTTCTGCAGGCCTCCCAGGATGCCCATATATATTTGAATAATATGATGGCACAAACATGGATAAATCACTCAGCCTCTACCATCTTCCCCTTCTGCAGGCCTCCAGGATGCCTGCCCTCACTCAGGCATCATGGAATGCCAAAACTGACTGTTAAAACTTCACTGATATGGCTGAGCAGAGGAGTGGCCTTCCCCTGCTTGGACGGCAGAGAGTCTTGTTAAATCAGGATGCCTGCCATCACTCAGGCATCATGGAATGCCAAATTTGTTAAAACTTCACTGAAGCGACTGAGCAGGGGAGTGACCTTCCCCTGCTTGGACGGCAGAGAGTCTTGTTAAATCCAGGAGAAAGTACAAACCTGAATATGTGCTTACACACATCTGTGTGTGTGTACACACATACATGTGTGGACATACATGCAGATATGTAAATACATTAATTAAAATAGTGATTTATCAGGAAAAGACATCATGAATGCTTTTCAAGCCAATGACAGGAGAGGAATTCAGAAGCCTACATAACCTTTGCTAATACACCTTAATCCAAATTACAGTCCCTTGTGCTGTTTCAGCCCTCAGATCAGTTTTCTGCAGATCTGCCACAACACCTTTAGCCCCACTGTACTGCAGAGCACTGCTTATAGGGCTGAGACACAGGCTGTGATGCTGACAGATCTCTGCTGATTAAAAGAGAGACTCCGTCCCTTCCCATCCTATGCCACGTTCCCCCAGTTCCCAAACTGTGCTGCCTGCATTTCAGCAGGGTCCTGGCACCCTGAAGCAGCAAAGCTCTGGTAACTCTCTTGACAGTCGCTGGGCTGCATTTGCCAGCTGGTGGCTCTATTTTCCCTTTGCAAACATGATCTTGCTGTAAAAACTAATTTCCAGACACCCCATGGACAATCAGAATATTTATCTGCAGCTCTAGCTCCCAGTTAATGTTTCTCTTGAGTTGTTCTGCTGTACCCCACATGGTATACAAAGTAAGCATTGCAACTTTCACTCTTCCCTTTGTCTATTCCACTTCCATTATTTCACCTGTGTTGTGCAACCCTTTTGTGCCACTTGTCGAGAGGCATTTCCAAATGAGGAACTTCCACAGCAAAATCATTGGGTAGAGTGGTACAGGATTACAAGGCTTTTGTGCAACTATTCTGGTGCCAATATACCTCAGTGTGATTTGCTGGCATGTCCCTGAGTTTGAGAGAAACATTATTTAAACTAATCCTTATAAGGCATTAGACTACAACAAAGTAGCAGCCCTGGGTCATAATTTTGTCCTCTTCTCCCAAATTCTCCCTGGATACACTGAGCTGTAATGAAGCTGACAAGCAAGGGTAGACACATCTGGCTTTGTTCGCGGGTGCCTGAACTTCCTTGTGTCACCATCCTAACACCTTTCAGCTAAACCACTGGAAAGGGACGCCACTTTAAGGGAACCTCCACTGCTTAAGCTGCAACATTTCTCTGGCAATAACAGCACCAGGTCCTCAGCAGAACAACCACCATGCTGTCATGTCTTAAACCCCATGTGAACCCAGATGTCTCAAAAGGGAACTCAGAAAGCTTGGGGTTGTCTTGGAAAGAAAAGCACTCAGGTAGATGGCACAGGAGCTGAGACACTGCCTCTGGTTTGGTTATATGTTGACATTAGTAGCTAGGGGCTGAGCAATGAACAAACCCAGCTCTTTGGGGACTGCATTAAGATGAGCCTTGGGAAGGCCTCTGTTTCAAGCTCAGCCTGCCACAGCACACAAAGGCTGGGAAAGTCACCCCATGCTGTATTACAGATGGGCAGAGAGACTGCGAGGATTAATTGCACTTTTAGTGTGCTTGAACAGAAAGAATACATTATTGTTTGACACCATCCCATGTCTCCTGGAGGATTCCAGCATCCAGACAGCTTGCACACTGCCAGCACAACAGGATGGCAGGACCATGCCTGTCAGAGGAACAGCTTCACAGAAGGCCCTTAGGAAGTCAAAGAAAGGCTTGAGATGAAGCAGTAACTACAGCCATTCTCAGCAGGACTCCACACAGAACAACTCTTGAACAGAGACAACTTCCCCTGTCAAGTCCTTCTGGGGCAGAATCCCTCACCTCAGGCCAGCCAACCCCAAAGCAGAGGTCCAAGAAAGACCTCTAATGGCCTCTCTGGGGGAAGAAGGGACAGATTGTTCCCAGAAACTTTGTGGGATAGAGGTACCATCACTTTTATTCAACTTTCAGGTAAGAGATCAATTTAGAGAAGGCTCTCAATACAAAGTCCTCCAGAGAAACTGGGCCAGTCACATATTGAGTGTCAGATGCTTTAGAAGGGAAAAAAAATCAGACTGTGAACATGCAGCATTAGGCCCTTGCTCAGAAAATGGCTGGCCTGTAATGCATTTGGCCTCTGCACCAAGACTTTCTACTATGTTTTCACTTGATATATTTACACATTAAAACAAAAGGAAATTGAAGTGAATAAAATAACTTTATTCCCAGTGCAGTGTACTGTACAATGTTATTATTACCATAACCTCAAAATTTTATGAGACTCTTGGTGCTTAGAGGTTGCTAATACCATGAAAATGTAGAAAAGGAGAGAGAAATGGTCTTTTGGAAAGGACTGAGTCATCTGTATTTGGTTTACAGGTCTAGCCATCCATCTTATTGAACCTCAGATTTCATCAGTAAAATTACATCGATGAGAGCTCCTTCACAGAGAGGATGGTGAGTGACAGTGACACTCCCTCAGTCACTGTCAGCACCCACTGGGGCAGCTGCTCCCCCGTTTTGCAGCACAGCACCTACCGCACTTCTCTGCTGCCCTCTCAGCACTCTAAGAGCAGCCATCATGTTTGACTCTGTCCCACCACTACCCCTGCCATCTGCGTGTCCTGCTGACTGCCTCAAGGATGGAGAACATTTATCCCCAAAGCTGCTGGACCAAAACCTGCAGCTGAAAGCACAGGGACACTGAATCCACCCACCTCTGCTACCATCCTTCTCCAGGGTGGGGAGAGAGGGAAGC